GAAAATCACAAACCATAAAGGACAAGTCGAAAAATTGATCATGAAAATACATTATTTCTTTTTCAAAATATATCACCATGGGAGGGAAAAGACAAGCCAAGGAGAAGGAGGAGGGATTTCAACACACAGAAGTGACAAAAGGCTTGTATTTAGAATAAAGGGTTTCTATAAATCAACAATGTTGTAGAAAGTGGGAAAGTGACTTCAACAAACACTGATAAAAGATAATATTTAATAGGTGATGGGAGTATGAAAACATGCTCAACTTCATAACTAATCCAAGAAATGAAAACTTAAATCTCATGAGGTGGCTGCATAAACTAAAATTTTTCAAAACAGCCAACCCTGCCAGGTTTTGGTGAAGATGTGTTAGAAACCTTGGTACAAGCACTTTGGAAAACTGGTCGTATTCCCAACAATTCCCTATGACCAGCATATTCCATAACCAGCGATGTTCACCTCAGTTCTCGTCAACAGAAAGGTCTGCCCAGCTGGAGATATTCCAGAACCAGCGATGTTCATCTCAGTTCCCCTCAACAGAAAGGTCTGCCCAGCTGAAGAGAACACACGTGTGAAAATGTCCAGCCCCATCCCGGAAATAACCCAAACATTCACCTGCAGCAGAAGGGGCCCGTCAGCTGAGGTTCGTTCATACTGGAGCATCCTCTGGACCCATACAACGATCGATTCCAGGTTCATGCAGAAGCTTTGTTGAAATCCGCAAGCACATGGAGCATCCAGGACGCCAGCACTAAGGAAAGCAAACGGTTCAGTTGCATCTGTACAGAGTTTGAAAGTGGGCAAAGCTGAACCGCAGTGTGAAGGAATGCACACTCAGTGGCAACGTGGAGGGAAAGGCGCAGACCATGCCAGTCAGATGACCACTCCCTTGGGAGGGGCCAGTCAGACGACCGCTCCCTTTAAGACCGCTCCCTTTAAGACCGCTCCGTTAGGAGCAGGAGCCTTGAGGACTGGAAGGCACACCGGGGGCTGGCGATGGGTTATGGCTTCATTGGGTGATGCATGTTTAGTTTATGCTCTCTGGTGAAAGGGTATTACATTTCACTTAAAAGAGCAAGCTTAAATAAACTATTTAAATAAAATAAACAGAACACATAAGGGCCATCATCGTCCTTTATTGCTCCCACCACAAGCTGTAGCCCAGCTGTCTCCGGGAGGCTTGGGGAGGTAGAGCGGCTGCTGGTTCGCTTCCCTGTTGCGGCTCCGGCTTCTGGGAGGTTGAGCAGCCCCTCGCCTGGCTGTTGCTCCACGTGCTGGGTCTGTAGCCTGAGATGAGCCTTGGAAGGATCCAGAGGGAGAGGCCAGCCAGTGAGGCTGGTCAGAGTGGGGCTGGTCGGAGTGGACAGAGGGAATTCCTTCCCCCTGGACCATGGTCAACCCCAAGGGGTGCCAACCTCATGGGTCAGCAAGGCAGAACCTCTCACGAGGTAAACTGCGACGGTTTATCATGAAGTGAAGAAGTGCGGCTGCAACAAAATGAAAATATAATCTAGCAAAAAGCCTGGCTGCCCAAGTTCCAGGAAGGGTCCTTCCGGCAGATGACAGAGGATCAGTCGCAGGCTGCTGTGTGGATCATGGTGGAGATGCCCTCACCACACCCTGCCCCTCGAGATTACAACCAGGGCAGCCAACGGGGTCCTGCTCCAC